AAACGTGACGAAACTAACTTAATGTAATTCATTACTTATAACGGTACATTCCAAAACTGTGTGATTTACTAATACATATTTCCAAAGATTTTTCTCTATTTTACCTTTCGGCACCGCACTGATGTAACATAGCCTTACTCACCTTCGAAATGAAACTTCTAGGTTTAAATCGTCTCTATTTTTGCAAATTAAGCAAGTTCGCACCATTGTCTTATTGTTTATCAATAAAATCACTAAAAACAATACCACAAAACACTAAAATATCTGGAAATCACCTCGTAAAACATTTCGAAAAACTACAACACATTGGCAACGCCGTAGAGCAATTTATGAACGAATTCGAACTGGATGTTTTGTTGGCTGCCTAAATTTAGGAGTGAAGATAGTAAAATGCGTACGTTTTCGACATCAGCTGGCGTTGCGACGTTGTCGATTGTTTTATGTTAAATTTCTTAATTTCTAAACATTATAATTACAGAAGATTTAAACCTTTACTTATTAACTTTACTACCTTTAATTATTATCGGTTTAAAATATTCTACGAGGTAATCTATATTTGGAATTATGGAATTCCTGGTTTACAATGTGGGTTAGCTATCCCCGTACGTATATGTAGGTAAGATTTCATTTTAAATGCGGCCGGTAGTGGAAATTTGGCATACATGCAATTTTCTAAGGCAATGATGGATTTCACCAAAATGTAAGTCGCCGGGTCTAATTTATTTCGATGTCATTGATATAAACCCTATTATTAATCAATTAATTAATATAGAACAATGCTTTTCGCTTATTAAAAATCATGTAAGTAAAGAAAACGTTACTAACCATATGTCATATTATGGATTATCAGAAAGTACTTTATTCAGAACGCAATTCTTGATCGATTCAACACAAAATAAATTAAAGAATCTTTATCCGCACATTAGGACAAAGCGTGGATTAATAAATATTGTAGGAAAAACCTCTAAATGGCTTTTCGGTACACTAGATTCTGAAGACGGACAAAAATATCAAAATGCTATAAATAAGCTAGAACAAAATCAAAAAGGCTTAATAAATGAAGCTAATTTACAAATTTCTTTATCGAAAAACTTAATAAATAATTATAGTAAAACAATTGTTTCTCTAACTACAAATCAGCAAAAACTAGAAAAAAGTCTGAAACTATTCCAACAAACAGTTGATAAAACTATATCAAATTTAAATGCATATTTAAATTTTCAAGGCATTGTTTCGCAACTTAATCTAGACTGCCAGAGTCTGATTACTTTTCTCGATAATCTCGAAGACGCGATTATGTTTACAAAGTTGAACGCCTTACATAACGTTATCGTATCAAGCTAGGAGTTAAATGAACTATTAAATTACTTAAGAACGATTTATAAAAATAACGAAGTTCCAGATTTTAAAAATATATTAACCTATTATCAGTTATTGGGTACACAGGTAACATTTTCTGAAAATAAATTAATTTTCGCTATACATGTTCCTATAATTAGACCTAAGGAATACACCTTTTACCACCTATACCCAATTATCCTAAATCCAAATATTTTCATTCCCAAATACCCATTCCTGGCACAAGAAGACCAGTCATACCAATTTGAGGAAGAAGCATGTCCATTCCTGGAAGAAAAATACTTCTGTCAAGAAAACTTCCATTCGATATTGCGATTATCTTCATTTGTCTAATAATTGCAATATACCTGGTGTTCAGAAAATACCCACAACTCAAGAAGTACTTTCCATGTTTAAAGAAGAAAGAAGAATAGCATGTTCCAGTCCCAGAGAAGAGGGCTCCCGAAAATAAATCCGTTATTTTCTTGTCTTAACAGGGGAGGAGTTATATGTATAAATAAGTGTTATTTCATTGTAATTAAATACTGAATGCCTATTTTACATTATGTCACATATAAAAGCGAACTGCACGGTTCGAAGCAGACTTTTTCACTCTCTGTACTCTGTCGAGAACGTTTGTAACAATAAAATCGTTTTTTAAAAACAACTCTGTTAATTCAGAGCCTGAAACTTCCGCAACTTTATTTTCAGTGCAGTTTATTAAGATAACAAGATGGAAAGCAAAATCATCTGGTTAAATTAAATTAAATAAGATAATAAAACTTTTTTTAACTAGGGTTATTTATGTTCAAAAGTTAAATAATATTTTTTTGCCTTATTTATGAAAATATAATTTTAGAGTATATCATATTTCAGAAAGCCCATAACAAGGCAAATAATATAAAAAAATAATATACGGGGTGTCTTATTTAAAAAATAGAAGTCGGATTTCGAAAATGAGAACCATCAGCGAAACTAGTTAACATCACTGGATTCTACGTAAAAAACTAAACGAGACTGAGTTTTCACCTTTTCGATAAGTTATAAGATTAGGGAGATATTGCGGTACAAAGATGGCGGAAAAATAATGTTTTTATTTTTTATCTTGAAAACGAAAATAGATAGATTAATAAAATTTTATGGAAGCATTACTGTTATGAAAACACACTTTCTGGTAATCTTTTCACTTTTTTAAAATGAGTGGAAGGGGTTGAAATAAACTACCCCTATCATTCTTGTTAACGAAATTTAAAGAAAAATCTTATCAAACACATGCAAAAAATTAATTTGGATAGTTTAGTTTGTTTAGAAACTTTTTTATCTCTTGTATTTTTTTGATAAAACTCACCGATTTGAAATTAAAAAATAAAATGTAAAGCATTACATGTCAGAACAAAAAACATTTTCTGATAAAGAATCTAGTGGGCTGCTGTAATTTCTTTAGGAAAAAATCTAGTCGGCCGCTGTTACTTTTTAGGATGTTCCTAATATTATTTTATTTGACATTACTCTACTGCAATACGTTATTATCTAGATGATTATTATTATCGTTATTATCGCTAGATTCTTAATCTAAAAATGTTTTTTGTCCTGACATGTAATGCTTTACATTTTATTTTTAATTTCAATCGGTGTGTTTTATCAAAAAACACAAGAGGTAAAAAGTTTCTAAACAAACTAAACTATCCAAATTAAAGCATTTGCATGTGTTTGATAAGATTTTTTTTAAATTTCGTTAACAAGAATGATAGGGGTAGTTTATTTCAACCCCTTCCACTCATTTTAAAAGCAAAAAATTACCTGAAAGTGTGTTTTCATAACAGTAATGCTTCCATAATATTTCATTAGTCTATCTCTTTTCGTTTTCAAGATAAAAAATAAAAACATTATTTTTCCGCCATCTTTGTACCGCGATATCTCCCTAATGGTTGACTTTTGACCCAACGTTTATAAAGTAAACTACCCTTTATTTTAAACAAGGAATCACCCCCTAAAGTTTTTCGCATTTGTTTTGAAACATCCTGTATATACCTATAAGATATACGATGGAATCGAAAGATGCAACATTTTAAAATTCGTCCTGTATTTTAGGAACTAAAAAGACTAGAACAACTCTTCTTCTTTTTTAATTCTTTAATTAATTAATTTTTTAATTCGTTCATCGTGCAATAATTATTGATACTCAACTTTTGATGTATTCTCAGGCAGCCGTCCTGTATTCCATTTCTATTTTTATGTGCATTAGTTCTGGGGTTCCAAGTTATTTGGGCTTTTTCATATAGGGGTAAAAACTCAGATATAGTCTCGTTCGACCAAAACATGTTGTGTCGAAACAGGGCCGGATACAGGAATTTATTTTAGGGGGGGGGGCCAAACAAAAAATAATGTAGAATATGCTTTTTAGGTTGCCGTTTTTAACCCAAAAGCCTACTATTTAACCCAATTTATAGATTTTAGGCAGTGAATTGGTACCTATAATATATTGTTATAATCATCGGCAATTACCACCGCTCAAATTACCGCCAATAAATTAGTATAGGTATACAAATTTTAAATAGCATAATTGCACAAAACTTTATGAATTAATATTTCTATAGCTGCTGTAAAATTTAGAAGTATAAATTAAGTATCAAATACAATTATTACACATACATAAATCACCTCAGCAAAATGTATATAGTGCTTCTCACTTCTCACCCATCTAGTAATATTCAACATTTTTGACATGTTCTACACCCTTCGGGGTATTTGTATGTAACTTATATTATTATACTTAGAACTAATAAACTATATCTATCTATACGAGTATATCCGTTATACAGCATTTAGAATAAATAATAATTTTACACAATAACATGGTAGATTATATTGGTATACCCTGTATTTATCAGTAATTTTTATACCTAATTAATATGATATTTATAGATTTTTTAAGCCAATATCAAATTATGTATGTTTGCATTAAATGGAGTTATTTAAATAAAGTATGTAACAAATAAAATTAAATGAATTTAAAAGAATTACTGGTGAAGACCTCGCACGGCGCGTTTACTTTGAAATTTACCGCCAGTCGACGGAAAGGACGCGCCGACCCATTCACACGGCGTGTATGGAAAACTCGCAGCGCAGTTTTTCCACTACAAAAACTTGTGAGATCTCATGTAAAATCAAGTCAGTTTATTTTATTTAGTTTCTATTGAAGCACCTACTCAACAATTTTGTTATAAATTTTAGTAATAATTAATAATGAGTACCTATCAATATTATACATCTTTATTTGTCATAATAATTATATTGTAAATAATAATATATTATTAATTCTCGAAACAAATGAGCTAATGACTCGCTCTAGACATTGAAGCATTTATGGATTCAAATTCTGCTTCCAATCAATAAATTATTTAACAAAATTTATTGTTTTATTTGAAGTAGGTAGTAGAAAGAAAATTACTTTTAAAAGTGCTCAAAAAAATTCACAAAGATATAAGTTCTATAACAAAAAATGAAAAAATTGAAATTAGTTCTTTTATGGTTCTATAAATCCAATTCTGCTATTTATGTGATAATTTTAAAATAATAAATTTGGACAATTTGGCAACTTCAACAGGAATTTGCACTGCATATGCAGTAGTGAACAAGAGGAATTTAGTAATAAAATTGTATAGTTTTATATGTTTATTTTTATGATATATAAAAGTAACTTAAGCAACTAGTGCTGATGCTGTGCTTGATTCATATTTCCAATTAGGAGCTAATACATTTTTAGTCTTATAATATCTTGCTAAACGATGAATACGTGATTCAACTAAAATAAGACGGAACTTGCTGTCTTTATCTTTCCTGTTTCTTTCCAAGTGTTTGCGTATAGCAACAGCTTTCTTAATCAAATAGTATAGATCTTCTGGTAAATCTGGTGCTAGCCCGACAAGTTTCATAATTCGCAAAATTTTATTCCCAGTCACAAAACGCACTTGGGCAACGCCATAAGAATCTCTTAGGATCACACCTGTAATAATGAAAGAAAAATAAAGCACACTGATATATAGAAAAAGTTTAATAAAACATTACCAATTTGAGATGGTGTCAAACCTTTTTTACCAAGTTTAACAATGTGATCCTTAACTTCTTCAGGTGTCACTTTAAGCCAGGTGGGAACACTTCTTCTGTACGGTAAAGCTGACTGGGCAATGCCCTTTCTAAAAATTAAATAAACATTTTATACTGAACCACGAGGTGAAACTTAACCTCTGATTCTTAATTCGGACTTTAATTTTTAGTGAAACGACATTCAGTAATTCTATTTTATCCTTCCTAAATACGACTATTAATTACATATCGATAATAAAACATTAATACATACCCAGGTGCGTGCATACGACCCATATTTTAATATTTTTGAACGATACGAATCGCAAGAAAACAAGTTTTCTTCAAAAAGAAATTTTTAGAATTTTGACACTTGACACTTGACGTCTCTACGATCTGCCATTTTCGATGCGCATGTCGTCATAAGTTTCTACGAAAATTTAGGTATGTTCCATATCCATCAGGGTTCAATCAAGGAGTTCAATCTAAAGGTTCATCAAGATTCAATCACGGGTTCAATCATAAAATCAAAAATTATGAGTTTAATAAACATTTCACATTTTTGTCACATATTATCATCTATAATCAAGGGCTATATGGTGTAAAAATGTAATAACGTTTGGTTTGGAGCAATTTACTATCTATCAATTTACTGCTAACCAGCTGCTAACCTTTTATTAAGATTGCTAAAGTAATTTTTAATATTTTTTAGGTAATGGTGTGGATCCGGTGGCTGACCTTGAAACGAGTTTTTGCTGTATATAGTCACAGACACTACGCAGGCGCACATCTTCGATGTTGCCAGATTGCAAGTTATTTTGGAATTATTTTCAGTAGAAAACAAATATGTGCTTTTCAGTGTGTTTTGTCAATATATACAGTATGATCGAATAAACAGCGTCTAGTTGGCTAGGAAATGACGATTGAGGACATTTCCCATATAAAATGACAGCGATCTTCATTTCATAGTCATCGCTGACGCTATTTTTTTCAATATAGTACGCGGTATATTATTTCTATTATTATTTTAATATTTCGCACAACATATGAAACGTGAATGCTTATTATGTATTTTCATAGTCAATACAATTAAATAGAAATAAAATTCTAGATTCCTATAATTAATCTAATTGCTCTAGATTATAATGCTACGTTTAAAAAGTGCTTTATTAAAAATTCGGGAAATTAAAAGGGATGTGTCCAAGTTTTTTCTTTTTTTTTAAATTTTTAAATGCTGTAGCTCCATGTCATGTTCATAATAGTTTTTAACATTCCATCAAAACTACGGAGGCCTTAAAAGGCATTTAGCCTCCGTAATTAAAATTGTACAATCAGCTTCAGCAACATTTACAGTTACCTTGTTTAATTCTGCTTATACATATATTGCATTATTTTTTCTGCTACCTTAAGATTTCTATTCTTACACCTAATTTATGTGATTTTCTTAGCATAATATGATTTATAGACCATATTTTTCCTAATGGAAGGATGGAATAGGATATGCAAAATTAAGATATTTTAACATTTATTTTCCAGACAAAGCATAATATAGTATTAAGATTAAGACATAACAAATATTATAAGAAAGATCTTAATATAAATCACAAACTAATTACAAACTAATCTTAATTTGGTCTTGTATAAACACAGGTATAAAACTAATAAGATCAAAACTCAACCTTCACCATATTGTCAAGATTTGGCATTATAGCAAACAAGAAATTACAGTAAATTAAGAAAAGAATGTCAAAGTACACGATATTAAATGCTGTAATGTATTCTTACACACAAACCATCTCCCTTCTAAAGAGAAAAAGATAAAACATAAAGCTTATTTTAATCTTATCAACACACTCTTCGATAAAATATATGTCTAAAATTGCTATTAATCCACTAACTTGATATTTTTAAGAAATTATGATACAAACATTATAATCAAAGTATATTATATTAGTAACATTATAGGTAAGATGTTACCTCTATCTCCCATTGACGTGTATTGTTCTATAAGACTCGTCATGGTAGTACCGTATGATCGAAAAAAAACGGCGTCCAGTTGGCTTGGAAATGACGATCCATGCCATTCCCTGTATAATTTTACATATAAAATGACAGCGATCTTCATTTCATAGCCATCGTTGACGCCGTTTTTATTCGATCATACGGTATTTCAAAACATCAATACATATAATCAAAACTATTGTTGCCTGTAAATAACTAGAAATTAAATAACTTGAAAGAAATAAAATAATTCTAATAAGTTTAAAACGATTAAGAAAAAATCCGTACATGATAATTTTTAATTCTAATGTAAATATATAAATAAATGTTATTATTATTACAATTTTATATATTCATAATACTTTCATTTCACAATCTTTATTATCCTTCTTACCTTAATTATGGATATCAAGATAAATCTGAAATTATAAAATTAATTATAGAATTTGTATTATAATTGATTAACACTCAAAAAAAAAAAATTCAACTGCAAATAATTCGAAAATAAACTGCAATTTGGCAACATCGACCATGTGCGCTTGCGTAGTATCGATGATCAAGTGCAGCAAATATGGGCTTCAAGGTCAGCCACCGGATCCACACCTTTACCATTTTGGTAATTTTTTACTTTAAAATTTGCTTTTAAACTAGTTGTTACTCTTAAAAACTACATAAACTACATTACATTGTAGTTTATCGACGTAAATAATGTACGAGATGTAACTTTCAAATATCAAAGGTTTCATACAAGTTTAAGTTTATAATAAGTTAAAGCTAGAAAGCAGTAGAGATATGGATTTAAATATAGCAATGTCATAAATTATTTGCAGCCCTTATACAGAGGATAGTTGTTAACCACAGTTGTTAACTGACGACCATATTATAAATTAGGTAGAAAAATATTTTCTAGATTGTCTTGACAAAGATATAACTAGGCGATTAAAATCTTACAAAATATTAATTTATTTTTGTACTTTGATTATGTTAAAATGTTTTGAGTTGTTTTATTTTATAATAATTTTAATATCAAAGTTATATAATATAAAATATAATTTTAATATCAATATCAAAGGAATATTATGATATTCATTAGATATATTTTGTTTTTTTTTATGAATTGATAATCATTCAAAATTAAACTTTTTATTTATAGGATTGTTTTTCTATCGTAATAACAATATGTAGTTTATTAAATAAAGTAGTTGTCATGTAAATAATGAACGGGAAAAGACGTAGTTATTGAAGAAAATTTAATTGATCAGGTAAATTACGTCCTTATTAACTACCACATTAACTACTTCCAAACATTTTTAACGATACTTATTGGCAAACCGGCATCGCCGCGCATGACCGCCTATTCATTGAACATCATTGGCCAGAGTACGTCATACAGGATTTGTTACCACGCGGTTGCCATGGCTTTTACGCCTTTCCTATTCGCTTGCTTTATCCCTCAACGTCAACGTCTCTTCTGCAAAACGGTAACAAGTTTGAATACTAGTTTATTATCGCGCTTGCTATGTCAACTTTTTAGACGAGGACGGTTTACTTATGGATCCTGTATTTTGTACCGGTTATCCTAAGACAAGGATGTTTTATATTAAAAGTGTTTATTAAAATCAAATAAATTGTATTTATTATTTTCGGTAAAATGTTACAATGTTTCTGGACATAACAGATATAAAAACAAAAGTTAAGTTTAAACGAAATATTTCCTGTTTTTAAAATGAACAAAAAAGATGAGGGTAAAAAACTACACAGTTAGACAAGAGAAATAAAAGCTATTTTCAAAAGGTACAAAAAATAATTATGTATATTATAATATTAATAATAGGAACAACAAGAAACATCTTAAAAATATACAACTCTTTCAAATACATAAAACAAAACATAAACTTCCACATTTTTCACAAGAATTTTGCAAGAAAATATTAACATTTCGAGTCTATTATAAAATATAAAGCACGAAAATTCAAATCATAAAAAGATTAAAAAGATAAAGATTCTTATAACTTACAGTCAATTTGTAGGACCTTCGTTTTGTCTATGTTAGCGATGTAATCACAATAATATGTATAATCACAGTAATTATTATGTTCTTCATAAATGGAAAATGTATTAAATTATTTGTTTTCGTTTTGTACGCTAATAAAATAATAGTAATAACCAAACAAAACGCAAAATCAGGAATTCAACAGTTCGTTCAAGGATGGTTCAAGGCAAAAACGTTTTTCGTTTTATTTAGGTTAGGTTTACCACAGTAAAACTGGAAAATTGAAAACAGTTCTATGGTTCAATCTGGTGGCAGAAAAGCATGGCCTCTTGTACTAATAAAATAATAGTAATAACAAAACAAAACGCAAAATCAGGAATTCAACAGTTCGTTTAAGGATGGTTCAAAACTAAAAACGTTTTCGTTTATTTAGGTTAGGTTTGGCCAGGGGTGACAGTAAACCGGAAGAGTGGAAACAGTTCTGGCGCGGTCTCTTGCAGGCAGAAAGCATGGCCTTCTAGACTGTCCCAGACAAAATCTGAACATTTCTATATGATTTCTGTCAATTTCAAAGTTACAGAACATTTTATGCACGTCGCATGTCCTCTTCTTTTGTCTGTGTGTCAGCCATATGTGTCACTCCCGAGCCCTGCTGGCAAGGTCGAGCGATTTTTTTGCCGTGGTTAGAATTTGATTGGAAGTTTGTTTATGATATTTCGAAGAATCGAATTTTCCTTTTGCAAAGATGTTTTTGATATAAAGGGGGTTGTTAACATTTAATAAAGTTTATATAGTATTAATGTCAACATGACAGATAAATAATGAAATGGACGTTTCTGCGTGTATTAGGTAGAGGGCCATAAATATGTACGCGAAATAGGTAATATATTAACTGCTATTTTATATTTGATTTAACAGATCCAAGTAGATCTAATGGGATATTCTTTAAAAAGGATTTTCCGTATCTCTACCTTTAAAGACTGATCGGTGATTTTGAGCAATTGAAAGCAGCTACCAAGGTAAATTATGATTATTGAACTATTATTAGCTTACATTAATAATCTACAAGAGATGAACAGAATGCGTATCATTATTATCACATAGGTACCTATTATGTATTTTCATAGCAATAATGCTATGTATGTAGATTATTTTAAAAATAATAAAATGAGGTATTAGATGTATGTATCATATTTTATTCATTTTATTTTCATTCAAGTCCATTTGATTTAATTCACAACAGTCTTATGTACCCATATTTATGTTTTTTACATATTTTTTTTTTTTGATTCCAGGTTTTGCGTGGTCCCCATATCTGGTGTAATAGGCAATATTGGATCTACTGGTGAGTAAAATTATGTTTTGTTTGGTAAGCTTACAAAGTTAACTATTTTCAAGATTGCTGGAAATAGCGTTATATATTAAATTATGTATTATAGAAAAAATAAGTTAGTATAGATATAAGTAAATATACCTAAGACTCAGTCTTGATCATCTGCTGATGGCAGGCATGGTTAGCGAAACATGCGTCCAGTGTAAAATTAAAAGTGTTTTGGTGTATTGTACATGATTTAGTGTTTTATTTTGCTGTGTAACACCAAAGGTTCCAACTCCCCCAGCTGTAATTATTTGTTCTATTATATTAACAACACAATAATAAAATGATTCAAAGATATTTTGCGTGGGAGCTTTAATAAAAGCTTTTAGCTTATCTGCTAACTCAACCGTGAAGCTGTGAAACAGCATTTATTTATCTGAAAGTTTCTATTAAGTTGAGTATTGTTACTTTATGATACACTTTTTAGCATCTCTTATGTTATTTAAATATTATTTTGATATTGATGTACAGTAGTTTATGGGTTTATAGCTCTTTTAATTGTGTTGATTTGTATATTTACATTGTTCTTAAATTCCAAATAAATATTTTGAGTAATTTTGTTGTGGCCATTTACTACTAGAAAAAGTAAAAAGTATATTAACCCCTCATTTTAAAACCTCCTGAACAGCCCGCCATCAAAAACTGAAACGGAAATAAATTTTACAAAATTGAAATTGTCATGTCAATGAAGTGTCTATGTCATATTCAAATCATGTCAAATGTCCCAGCCGCCATATCTGAAAATTAGTTACCCAGGCAGCCACCGCTGTTTCCATAATTCAACATTGGACTTGACACTTCTTTCTTGTATTTATTATTTTAAGGGTTTGACCTTGTGGGGTGACAGTGGAAATAGGAAAATTGGAAACAATATTAGTGTCATTCCTCCTGTCAATTCTCCTATCGACAAGTATGGTCAGTCTAGACAAGGACAAAAATTGTTTTTGTCTAACTATTGTCTAAGAACTTCACAGTTTAGGAATTGACAGGATTTCAGTTTCGAGACAACTTCAGATTTGTTCTAGAACAAAATTCGGAAAATATTCGACGCCATTTTAATTCATTCCGTTTAGTTTCGTTTTGAAGTTCATTTTAATATTTCGGCTGAAATTTATAAATATAAAGGTAATAAAGTATATAAAATATATATTACATGAAAAATCCTGAGAAAACGACGTTTCTGGTAGTAGTCCATGCCTATTTTATGAATGAAATTGGGCGTGTTTTGTTTACAACTGCATTCCCCTGCCGATACAACTGTAGCTATTGATCCGTTGGTCACACTATAATATTACAGATATCAATATCAAAGGAATATTATGATATTCATTAGATATATTTTTGTTTTTTTTGTATGAATTGGATAATCATTCAAAATTAAACTTTTTATTTATAGGATTGTTTTTCTATCGCTGAAATTTAACATATAAATGTAGTTTATTAAATAAAGTAGTTATTACATGTAAATAATGAACGGGAAAAGACGTAGTTATTGAGGTATGTCCCATGTATATGGTAAATGCCGTCGTAAATAAACTACCACATTATTTTTAGATGCAAACATTTTTCCGAAAATGGTCCGTATAATATCTTTGATCGGCGATTTGTGTGAAAGACCAAAGCTAATAAATTACAACAAGTTTAAGATCATATTTAAGCCTTATTATAACATTCATGTTATCTCCAGGTATGTGCGATTGTATTGTCAATAGCTATGCAATAAATCGGACTGATAATCTGATTATGTTATCCGACTAAAGTCTCTTTGCTTCTTTTGATTTATTAAGCCATGAGCCTCTTTGGGAATAATGGACGCTTTTTAAAACAGTATATTTATATTTTTATACCTATTGATATTTTTACATTGTTAATTTTAGTATAAAAAAAATTGTTTTTCTGTTTCAGGTTTTGTATAAGGTCTGGTTTTCATGTCTCTGTGTCCGTTTTTCTGTCCCAGTTCATGAATACGTGTGTTTATTTACAAATTACTGTAAGTCATGCTTATACCTTAACCAATTTACGCTAAAAGTACATATATAATTAACTAATTGCATTGAAACAATACAATCCCTCTATATTTTTATATTTATTTAGTCACGTTGTTCCATATTTCAAATAAATATATGTGAATAAATAATTTTTGGTTTTATTTATGAAAGTAAAATACAAAATACATTTGAACTGAAAGAGGGACCGCCATTGAATAACCGGAACGGAAATGAAAAATTAAGCCATCATGTCCTTATCATATCAACCTGTCAATTGGAAAATTAGTTCTCCAGACGACAACGAAGGCTTTCGGTGGCGTATCGTGTTTCCACGATTTAACACAGAGTTGACACTTCTCTCTAGTTAATTATTTTATGGGTTTGACGAGTGCGATTGCGCGATGATTTCTGACTCAACTGGCCAGCGCAAAAACAATAATGGTGGGTTCATACAGCCAAATAAAATAAAATAAGAATAAAATAAAATAAGAAATAAGGAATTCTTATTTGTGTGCGTTCATACAGTCAAATAAAATAAAATAAGAAATATATATTTGCTCACAAAAGTAATGATGAGGTTGATAAAAGTTAACTTCCTTTACGATTGTTTATAGTAATTTTACTATTTGGGTATATTTATTTATTCGTTGCCCACTATATTATACATTTTATTCTATGTGTGAAATTATAAAATAAATTAAACCCAAACTGAAAATATTTGTAGGTTAGAATTAAGCAAAACGCAAAGCCGTTTTCACATAAAATAAAACAAGAAGTTAAAAGATAAAGACTTCTTATTTTATTTGTTATTTTATTTGGCTGTATGAACGCATGTACGGTATCCCATATAACCAACTTTCTTATTTTATTTTATTTTATTCTTATTTTATTTTATTTGGCTGTATGAACCCACCATAATTCGACTTCCTCAATCCTTTGAAAAGTCTTGCTTTTGTTAGTTTGTCTATGTTTCGAACGCACCGTAACTACGAAATTTTTCTACGATTTCTACGACTAAACAATCTACGATTGACAGGACAAGTCAAGTGTCAAAAAATTGATGGCTTCTTTAACGCTACCCGAATATTTCTGCGGCATTTTAATAATATAATTGGAGTATATTTTTGACGACGAATAATAATTAATTGATTTGTCTACCAAATGTATTATAGCAATTTAAATAGTGATAGTTATTTGTGAATAATATGAGTAGCGATGAAAGTGAAGTGTATCCTCATAAGCGCAAGAGAAAAATACGTCGCTTGCCTGATGACAGTCCGGCGAGTACTTCCAGCGGAAGCCCTATCCTAGGAAGTACTTCTTGTAATAGGAGAAACAGGGCAGCCGTTTTAAATATTTCATCCGATTCCAATAACAGCGATATTTCTGAGCTTATCGCGCAAAAGAGAAAAGTAAATGTATGTAATTTCTATTCAAACAAGGTGCCCTTAAAGTTAAATGAACATTTTCAGAGATTAATTAGCAACTCAGATTCATCCCTAGTTGAGAGCGACTCTAGCCCTTTAATTTCCAAAAGAAGTAAAAAACTAAAAAAAGTCATAATAAGCACATCTGATTCTAGCTCTGATAGTGATTCTGATATTATAACGGTTAGAAAAACAAAAAATATTGCCCCATTATCAATGACCGATTCTGAAAGCGAAAGCGAGTGGGAAAGCGAGTCTGGAGATGAGGTATTCTGAGAAACAAGTAGAGAAATAATTTATAGTTAAATATATAATCTATATTTTTAGATCTCAAAAAAATCTGGTAATTCGAATAATATAGTACCTGAAGAAAAATGTATTGATTCAGATTCCAGTGATGGACAATCAGAAAAATGTCCTATTTGTCTATTGTCATTTCGATTGCAAGAAGTATATTTTGGAATATGCAATAATTTAATATTTTAATATGCTTTTATCTTTGTAGATAGGAATCCCGGAAAATTGTGAGCATAACTTTTGTTTAGAATGTATACAAGAATGGTCAAAAAATATGAATACTTGTCCAGTTGATCGGAAGGAATATAAGTAATTGAATAATTTTACCCCTCTATATAGTTTTTACAAGAACTATTATTTTAGCTTGATTATAGTGAAAAATTCTCTTGCGGGTAATGTAATTAATCAAATATATATTGAAAAACCGGAGATTCAAAATGAAATGAACATAATAGAAGATCCAACATTTTGTGAAATATGCGGTTCAAATGAACATGAGGACAGACTGCTTCTGTGTGATGGTAAAAAAAATGATGGTAAATAAGAATGAAAGAAAGTTATTTGTTTTTATATCTTAGGATGTGATCTTGGATTTCATCTTTATTGTCTTAATCCACCTCTTGATGAAGTTCCTGATGGTGCTTGGTACTGTAATGAATGCGGCCCTGGTGTAAATCTGAATATTGATATGGAAGAAGTTGCAGGTTTATATGAAGATGCTGAAGAACATTTTGGTCAAATTGTTATTGGACATCGAAGACAACCATCAGCTAGGTGAATTTTATGTTATATAAATTTAACTGTTTTAAAAAAGTTTAGTTGAAAAACAATTTTAATTATATACTTATAGACAATATAATTTGAAATGCAAATATATTAAATACGCATTAATATCAAATCTAAATGTCTGAAGAGTTTTCTCTCCTCAGAAATGTTTCTTATATGCAGATAATATCTATGATCTTTGAGGTAAAATTCGTTAATGCTTTAGTTAGTCTCCCTTTATTTTCTCATATTTTTTAGAATCCCTATTATTAATTGTTTATAATTCTTTTGTATTGTTTTTTGGTTACTACTGGTAAGGGTGTATATAAAATCTTGTTGGAATGTTTATTTTCTATGGTTCTATCTCCCTCTATCTCTACTTTTCTTTTTGAAGTTAATAAGAAATGACAATTCTAATTTTTGATAATGGCAATAGAAATTAGTAGAATAGTTCTTATGACAACTTAAATTATATAAAAGTGTTTTTTTTTCTATTTCTGCAAACTTGTCAGAGCTTATTTAGAATGTCCAAAAAGTGGAAGACTATTGAATGGATGTTGATGTCATACCTTAAAAACTTTCATAGTTTGTTAGTATGATACTATCATCTTCTTTTGTGAATCGAAGTATATGTGATTCTTCAAATACATAATTTTTTTTATTTGAATTTAACTCACCACTTATTTCATACTCTGATAATCAATTTATTTTATTTCTATATCTACAGTATAAAAAAATCTTATTTTTAATAAAAATTTCGCCACCAAGAGGTATAAAAATTTTATTACTTTCAAATTCAAATGCTTTTCAAAGATCGTAAGAACTTTTACAAGTCTGATATATGTATAATCAAATAGTTATATTAGAGATATGAAAATTTCAATTTTTATAACAATTTTCACATATATTTTAATATTTTTACACAGCTTGGTGATGATTCTTGACGATTCATTATAAACATTTTTAAAAGGAGTCAAGGTGCTTTAGAAAAATGACTGACATTACAATCTTCACTTTCAAGCGAACTCTGACGCCGTTTTTTAATTTTATTTATTATAGCGGGTGTGTCTAGAAAGTGGCTCACCCCTATAACTTTTTTATTTTTTCAGATAAAAAGAACAAGATTTGGCATGCTAGTATATGACATAAATTAGGATTGATTGAAATATTCAATAATTGTTTTCGGTCACTTCCTGTTTCACCGGAAATTATTACAACTTTTGATTTTTAATTGACACACTCGATATTTTTTACTTTATTCGGCTATTTTTTTTAATTTATTATAGAAAATGGCACTCTGAATAGAGCGACATATCATATGTCAACTTTTGACATTTTCGAATATGGTTTATTTGAAATTGCATGAACATGCCATTCATAATGACAATATTTGACACGAAATACCAAGCGTGTCGTAGCAAATTATTCATAAAAAAATGCTTTTTCCAAATATAATGAGCCACCCTCGTTCCATTTGAAAAAACTGAGATATGATTAAAAATACGATTTGTGCATCTTTAACTGACCAGGACAAGACACTAAAAACATTAGATCTATTCTATTTTTCCAAGGCTCCTTGATTAAAAATTAGTGTTTTTAACATAGCTATGGCACTCTAGATTGAAATTTAAAATACAATTTTTTATTAAGCGAGAATGTCAAAAGTTGACATATGATATGTCATTCTATTCAGAATCCCACTGTTTGTCTGAGTGATTTCAATGTTTTTTAAATTTATAAGTTTTTATTTTTTATATAAATTTACCTTTTATGATCAATGTAATAAGTGACAAAGGTGTAATGATTGTCTAAATTTTGTATTTTTATATTATTGACGTGTGTGTATATTTATTATTTTCACCAATAAACTTGATTTTGAATGTCATTTTCTATTGAATAAAGTAATAAAAAGCCGAAGGTGCTATTTAAAAATCAAAAGTTGTACTCATTTTCGGTGAAACAGGAAGTGACCAAGAAAAATTGAATACGTCAATCAATCCTAATTTATGTCATATACTAGTATACCAAATCTTGTTTTTTTATCTGAAAAAATAAAAAAGTTATAAGGGTGAGCCACTTTTGAGACGCACCCGGTATAGTTTGATTGATGTGCATTGTAAACGTACATTTTCCTGGAAAGAAATATAAATACAATAGGATTATTGTACTTATTACTTTTATATAATTTTTGATATGTTAATAAAAAAAATAATATACTGAAGAATTACAGAACCATTGTACCGTATGATCGAAAAAAAACGGCGTCCAGTTGGCTTGGAAATGACGATCGATGTCATTTCCCATATAATTTTAGATATAAAATGATAGCGATCTTCATTTCATAGCCATCGTTGACGCCGTTTTTATTCGATCATACGGTTATTATATACTGAAAAATTTGATCATGTATTTTTAGAGAAACAAAATGTTTGCCTTTGAATTGTTAATTTACTTTTAATTATTAATTATAATTAAGCTCTACTCTAGTTCTATGTTCTTAAAATCTACAATTAGAAGTTTTTTGATTTTTAAAATCTGCTTACTTTTTATTATTAAGATTTTTAAATTCTCCACAATTCACTCTTCCTTTAGTTTATTCAACAGTCATTTTTCTTAAACTGAAGAAAATATTTCCGCCATCGTATTTTTGCCACCGCCTCAAGGCAATGGCGAACTATCTTGAGTATTTGCTTAGTTAACCTGTCAATAGTGCCGTTCGGATTCGGCGATAAAATGGAGGCTTTGTGTATCTGTGATAAAGTGATTACATACAAGTGCATACGTCAGGTCACTGTAAGAAGATGAGAAGGAAATATTGAGAGGATATACACTCAGAAATGCAATAAAAACGCAACGGAAACGTTTTTGATCTAGTTTAAAGTTTTATATTTTTTTATTTTTAGCCCTATTTCCTTGATTTTTTTACCAAACTGTATATAAAATATATCAACTTTAATTTGTAAACTCAATTTACTATAAACTTTAATATTTGACTTAACAAAGTATTTGAGTATTTTTTTACAAGTTTTTGGTTATTTTAGTTATTACAGTTTTTTCAAATATCCTTAGTTCTGTTAGTGTTACTAATATTTATTAAAATCAAGCCTGTATCTTTACTTTTGATTTTTTTCAAAAGTTATTCACGAAATTAGTTTACCAGTTATGGTAAAAAACAATCCTTCAATTAACCCTGTTTAATAGGTCAAATACTAAAGTTTATAAAAAAACTGAGTTTATAAATTAAAATTGATAGATTTATATACAGTTTGCTAAAAAAATCATTAAAATAGGGCTAAAAGTAAAAAATGTAACACTTTAAACTTGACGAAAAAATTCTCTGTTGCGTTTTTTTTGCATCTGAGTGTATTTTATTTTATATATTGATGATAATTTTGATGCCCATCATCTCAGAAATTACGGGAGTTACAAATCGGTTTCACGTTCAGAAGTTGTGTCATGCTGAATGATGAATACTACGAATCGGGTGATTAATATCTCATTATACAAATTTAAAAACTCATTGATAAACTAAATTATTGTAAATATTTGCAGAGTGGTGCTACTCTATCCTCATTCATATTAGAGTGAATCATAGGGTTACCAGATGAAAACTTGTCCACCCCGGGTAAGCCTTCCCAAAAATGCGGACAAAATCGGGACGTCGCGTCGTGATTTTTTAGCGATATAAGAGTAACAATAGTATATTGTTTTATTAGGAGTAAAACGTTTGTACGTTTGACATACAGGCGAGTCTCCGACACTCTGAATAGCGCATGCTATTGTTTTTTTCAACGGCAAGTAATAATTTTTTAAACGATTTCAAACGTTTCAAATATAAATATTTAAAAGTAATACCTTGTAAGTAATTATATTATATCGAGAAACAATGGTTATGCTCGTTGAATTTGAGACTTTATCAATTAAATTATCAGTTAATAATATATATTCGTCATTTTGTGCTTAGACTTAAAAGTGCTTTACTTTTATATCTAGGCATTAAAATGACTTTTTTATGTTGTCAATTCAGGTCGCAAAAATGTTTACTTTTGTGACGTTTGAAAAAAAGTACATTTTTAACTTTTAAAACTTAGAACTTACGAAATAAAACAATGAATTTACTCTACTGAATTTATCGACGATTTTTTAAGTAACTAAATTTATTAAAATTAATATATTATTTTGCATTATTGCGACATTTCTTAATGGAACATTAAAATCCGGACGGTTATGAAATATTCGCCCGGATCCAACCGGAGGTAGTGAAAATTCGGACGTCTGGTAACCCTAGCGAATCATAATATAATAATATCATATTACCATATATTTCTAATTATCGATAATTTTCGGAAATCTAACAATACTGGGTATCTAACAATACTGGGATAAAATTCGGGTGATTGCTTAATAAAAATAAGGTTTTTTTTCCAGGGTTGGCACGATTTAAATCAAGTGATTTTTTTAATTTTAATCATGTGATTTAAATCAAAAAAATAATTTTATTGAAACTTTATAATAAATCAAAAAATAACTGTAAAAGTTATAAAAATCTTTCCTAGAAAACTATAAAAAATATTTCTATAACAGATAATAAATCGAAAAATAATTGTAAATTTTATAAAACTATATAAAAATATCTATTCATCAATTTAAATGTTGAACCGATTTTTGTAGTAATTTCGTGTGAATCCATAAGACCGCTAAACGCAGGAATTTACTTTAAAATTTATTTATAAGTGACAAAAATTCGCTTTTCGAATACACATTCGCCGACTAGTGCAGAACTAGGTTCTTCTGATATAGACTATATCTTTATTCCCTAAAAATCTATAATCGTTGTCAGAAAATATGTTGTTTTATATATTTTTTTTTTTGAAACGTTGGTATGTTTCCAAATTCTTACCGACATTTTGATTTGCAGTAAGTACTTTACACTTTGACATTAGATAATACTAATATCATTCTCGACTTAAGACTATTTCCGAACAATAGTGTATTGTTTTATTAAGAGT